AATCATAAGAGAAGTGATAAATGCAGATATTTGAATGGAAAAATCTTGAATATTTATTATTTTTAAAATAAAAAATTTGGGAATAATTCAATTTTCTGAACATTTGCAAAATAAATTTAAAGTCAACTGATGAAAATAAAAATAATTGTTTGTTCAGCAAAAATTTGCATACATCAGACTGTCTTTAAATTAAATTTTACAATAAAATTATCCATGATCTTTTAAAAAGAAAAGCTTTGATATTGAAACACTAATTTCAAGCAGCCATTAATTTTGTGAAAAATTATAATTTATGATTGCCTAATCATATCTAATCTTTTAAAAATTAGTGTGATGAAGGTAAATATATAACCATAGCAAATGGTCTTGCAATTAAATGAATTTATGAAACTATGATCATACCCCCCAACAATCTATGATAGTACATTTTATAAGGTAGTATTCATATAAAATACAAATTTTTTTGTAACCTAATTATGTACAATAATGGATCTTATGCAATATAGGTGAACAATTCAAAAAGAAAATTGAAAATAAATAATCAAATGTATCTAAATACAAATTAGAGACATGTCATAATAGATCATTCCATCTTAAAAAAATCAACAATGTTCAATTATGGTCATTAAATAATAACAACTTCCTGTCTATTTGCTGCTAAATTTTAATTTTTATCTTACCCTTTACAATGTTGACAATATATTAAAGGTGCAAAAATAAAGGAATACCTGCCACCAAATCTATGATAAATAATTCTATTACATCTCAATTTTCATAAGGTAGTATTCATATAAAATCCAAATTTTACATAACCTAATTATGTAGAATAATGGATCCTATGCAATATAGGTGAATAATTCAACTAAAAAATTGAAAATGTCACAATGTATCTAAAATATAAATTAGAGACATGTCATAATAGATCATTCCATCTTAAATAAATCAACAAATTTTATATGGTCATAAATCTCGACAACTTCCCAACAAATTTTTATATGCTCAGCAATATTGAAGGTTTATCCTTTTATACTCTTTTGTTATACCATTCAGGTAAAGTGCAAGGGAGAGACTTGTCCCCTTAAAACAGATCAAATCTAATAAATACCCCCCCATTCCATTCTACTATATCTCAATTTTCATAAGGTAGTATTCATATAAAATACAAATTTTATTGTAACCTAATTATGTACAATAATGGATTATATGCAATATAGGTGAACAATTCAACTAGAAAAATTGAAAATAAATACAATGTATCTAAATACAAATTAGAGACATGTCATAATAGATCGTTCCATCTTAAAATAAATCAACAATGTTTTGCGTCAATTTTTAACATCAACTTGAGATTTTTTTTTTTTTTTTTAATAATTTTATCACATTCAAAAAAACATATTGAATTTTATATAAAATGTATTTTTTTTTCTTTTTTAAGCAAAACAAATTCACGGATTTGGACATAAACAACTGAGAATGACGTCAAAATCGGCGAAAATATTTAATCCTTTCAGAGTCAGTTGTGCTTGGTTTAATTCTTAACGTATATAAATGCAAGACTGAAAAGTAACTCCCCATTTTAAAATTTATTTATTAACTATATTTTTTTATGAGAAATGGATAATTTTGAAAAATAGTTTGGATGAGTTCTTTCTTAAAAAATTGATGGATATGGGCACCAGAGAATCATTCTATCTTTTTTAAATGGCTATTTAGATATAACCAGGAATAACGTCATTGATATTTCCTCATTTGGAACTCATGCATATAAAGTTAGGCATTTTTTTCTTGAATTTAAGTTTCAAGTCTGAATGAGAGTTTTGATTTGTTATAATAGAATTGCTCTTTTAAACGAAACAAAAGAAAATCAAAGTCAGAACTATGACTGAAACTCATTTAAAATTTTCTATGAGTTAATTTTCAATAAAATTTTTTTTTGTAACCTTCTTTATATAATAATGGATGAATAATGCAATATAGGTGAACAATTCAACAAGAAAAATTGAAAATAAATCCAATGTATCTAAATACAAATCAGAGACATGTCATAATAATGATCATTTCATCTTAAAATAAATCAACAATGTTTTACGGCAATTTTTTACATCAACTTGAGATTTTTTTTTTCTTATTAAAAAGCTGGAGAATTTAAACATATTCAACATTATAAATAAAACATAGTGAATTTTATATAACGATGTATTTTTTTTTTTTTGATTTAGCATAAAAAAAAAAAAAAAATGAAAAAAATTTGGACATAATTAAATGATAATAACGTCAAAAAATCGAGAAAAATATTTAATTTTATAAAGTCAGTTACCTTTATATATATATAAATTAATATATATAATAAATGCAAGACTGAAAAGTAACTCCAATTTAAAAAAAATGATAATTTATTTATTAAAATAATTTTTATTGATAAAATGAACATTCCAAAAAAGACGTTTTCATTGAAAATTTTTATTTAAAATTCGATATGGATCAGATTCATACTTACTGTTGAAAACGGGAAAATGGAATGCGTCATCAAATTTTAAATAGGATCTCTTTGAAACAATGGTAACTTCCGATTCAAAATATTATCTTGAGTCTTGGTTTGGTATTTTGGACTTGATGTTAAACAAAAAAATCAACAAACAGGATAGATAGATGAATAATAGATAGAAGTAATTATTTGGACTTTTTATAAATATTATATATTATAAAAAAACTTAGGAATGATAGATAGATAATATGGTTTTTTTCTTAGATAAAACAACACAGATAGATAAAATGAATATAGACAGATGAATATGAATAGCCTAATATATAAATAGATATGAACATATTGATAGATGATAGATGGATAATTATAATAAAAAGAGGAAAAGATACCCTCATAAGATTTAACATATATACATAAATTGATGAAGATAGATACTTAGATAACAAGATTGATGACATGAAGAGAAAAGATCCGAAAATAATGAACTTAAAAGACTAAAAAATTAAATGTTTTTTTATAAATAAAAGGGTTTACTGTCATTTATTAAAAAACGGTTTTTTATAAATGATTAATTATTTGATAACATCATAAAAAATAAACAATTATATAGGAATAGAATAAATAGATATATGAAAAGGATATCAATATTTACCCCCAAATGACAATATGCTTCATAGATTTATTCATATATATAATATATATATATATTGAAAGATAAATCTATTCCGTCTATATAACAGATGATAAAAAAATGAATGTTTATTTAGATAGATAGATGAATGAATAGATTTGTGGATAAACGATTTTAATATTCTCTTTAGATTTTAAAAAAAAGAAAAACTAACATAGATAGATTTACGAATTAGATCAATCAAACCATGAAAAGAATTTTTTAATAGCTCTATAGGATGAAAACCGAAATAGTCTGATGGAATAAGATGATGATTGATAAATGAGATAGATGATGGAATAGATAGATGGATGGTGATGGATAAAATTCATAGTGATATATAGAAATGAAAAGTTAAATATATAACAATAGATATAGATAGAAAACATAAATATCTAATATTCTACAAATATATATAATAGAAGATAGATGGATATGAATATAGATAGATATATATAATAATAGTCTTAATTTATGGTACTTGATTATCTAGATAAGATTTTACTTTGATTATAAAATAGATAGAAGATAGATAGATAGATAGATTGATTTGATTTCTACCTTGGATAAAAGACATAAAGATTTATTTCATGAATGTCATTATAAATATAAAATGATAGGTATGTAATATAACAAAAGGTATTTCTTGATTAGATATTTTCTCATATGATAAATTGATAGTTTAATATTGATAGATGGATATAAAGATTGGAAAAGATATGGATACAAAATGATTGGGTTTTTTTAGATGATGAGAAAATCATCTTTGAATTTGATTTTTAAATTTCTTCGAAGTCCTTTATAGATATCCCAATTTGTCATATATAAATAAATAAAGAATGGACAAATAACGTTTATATTTAGCCCTCAAAATCATTAATATATAATTTTATCATTTAGATATGATAGTCAAATTTAAAAAAACAAATGTTTATATTTAAAAATATTAAAAACATTGATAATTACAAATATTGATTTGTTACGAGAAATTAACAAAATTGAACATTTGGCAATTTTGGATGAAATATTAGAAAGGCATATTAAATAGATTATATGGGCAACAGATTTTTAATGCTTCTCTTCAAAGGAATATTCATTCTTAAGGAAGGAACTTATGGTAATAAATTTCAAGATAGATACATTTAATAGAGATAAAAATATCAAATTAGTGGAATGATCCAAAAAAATATAGAATGCAACAATATAGATAGATAGATAGATAGATAGATAGATAGATAGATAGATAGATAAATAGATAGAAATAGAAAAAAATGTCTTAGATATTTTAACATGAATAGATAGATAGATAGATAGATGATAGATGATTAAATTAGTTAAATAGATAGACAGATAGATATGAAGATGATATAAATATAGATATATAGATATAGATAGATAGATAGATAGCTAGATAGATGATAGATAAAAAGATAGATAGATAGATAGATAGATAGATAGATGAATAGATAGATAGATAGATAGATAGATAGAAACTTAAATAGATAGATAGATAGATAGATAGATGGAATAAATTAGATAGATAGATAGATAGATAATGGATAGATAGATAGATTGAAGAAAAAAAGATAGATGATAGATAAGATAGATATGAAAATAGACTTGAAAAAATAGATAGAAATGAAAATTTTAACCTAGGATAGGAAGATGAAAAGAATTTCAAAACGGAATGGAATTGAAATGTTAATCTTTAGATAACATCAGAAAATACAATATAAAGATGATAGATAAACCATAGATATTAGATTGGATATTAAAGATAAGATTACCCCCAACTGGACAATTATTTTGGATATTTAAAAGATATAATTTTCAGATTTTATATATTCAAAGGTATATAACAGATAGATAGATGATAGATAGATAGATAGATAGAAGATAGATATAGAAAAAAGAATGAAATGAACATAATAGAGCCAAGAGACAAATATGGATAGATATAAAAAAATATAATACATTAGATAGATAGATAGATAGAAAGATATGAAATAATATGATGATAATAGCTAGATAGATCAATATGAATCTTAGATACTGAATGGAAATATATGAATGATAGATAGAAAGATGATAGATAGAAATAGATGAAAATGATAGATATGAAAAAAATATGAAATATGAAAAGATCTAATAGATTTTAGATAGATTAGATAAGATAGAAATATAAACATAGATATATAAATAATATATATATTTATATAAAAAGATATAGATAGATAGATATGAAAAACTTAGATATATATAAATAGTTGAAATGATTGATGATAAAATCTTTAATAAAACATAGATAATAGATAATATAAATATCTTTAACATAGAGGAAATAGATAGATAGATAGATAGATAGATAGATAAAATTAAATATTTTGAAAGATAGATAGATAATAGAATTTTATTTACTGATATATAGGATAGAATAACAGTTTAATAATAGATAAGAAATAGATAGAAGAAATAGGTTTTGATAGACATAATTTTTGAATAGATTTTAATTTGAAAATTATAGAAAAATGGATAAAAAGACTTAGAAAAATTATTTAAAAGAATGATAGAAAGGAGACATATTTCACCTTATCGGTCCTTCCTGACAAATCAACCGTGGTGAAAAGCCCATAACATAAGGGTTTATTGTTATTCCAGAAAGTGATTGTTCAATCACTTGGATACGTTTATATATTTATATATTTACCTACGAAAATCATTAATATGAAAACTTTTGCAAAATACAGCAGACCTTAAAACTATATTTTATCATAGTTATATAGGCTAACTGAAAAGTTTTTCTTTTTTAAAATACTGATAATAAATTTATTAACTATAATTTTGACAAGAAATGATTTTTTTGGATGTCCTTTAAATTTTACATAAGGTTTTCTTTAAAAAATTCGATATGGACAAAATTTCTCTACCAACTTCTCAAGCCTCCCAGGAATCATGTCATTTCAGAGACTCTTTTGATATACAAGACATAAATTCTGTTATTCGCCGTTCAAGTTCTTCAAATAATGTGTTTGCTATAGTGGACTGAATTTCTTTAACCAAATAAAAGAAAAAAAAGATACAAATTTTTCAAAATTCGTTTCTAATTGCTGATTATTTATATATTTATAAATCATATAGATATTATCATATATATTTTATTTATAGGATTTTGCAGCAGTCCATTTTTTTATACAGAAACGTTTTAATACAAATTTTATTTTTCAAAATGCCTAAAAAAAAATGGATCCTGGATGCAATATATTTGAACAATCCAACTTGAAAATCAAAAAAAACACAATGTATCTAAATACAAATTGGAGACAAGTCATAATAGATCTTCTCTCGACAACTTTCCTATCAACATTAAAAAGTAATCTTAGTCTCTAACTTTTTCACCCTCTGTTTGTTCTCTCATCCAAAGCCCAGTGAAAAATGGTCTCGTACCTGTCACCAAATTCTGATATGCTCCATCTCCCACATTCTATTACATCTCAGTTTTCATAAGATAGTATTCATATAAAATAAAAATTTCATTCTAACCTAATGTACTATAATGCAATATAGGTGAATAATCCAACTGGAAAATTAAAAATAAATACAATGTATCTAAATACAAATTAGAAACATGTTATAATAGATGATTCCATCTTAAAATAGAATAAATAAAAAAAAAAATTTTTAACATCAAATAATGTAAATCTTTCTTAAATATTTATATTATTCGACCTATTGTCCTCATCCGAACTGGCCGAATATTTATTATAAATTTGGCGACGTTGTACGCTCAATGGCCTTCTTAATGTAAATAGGAATATGAACTGAATAATTTCGTTCTCTGGGATGATACAGTTTCTAGTTACTGAAAAAGGACAGATGGCGAAAAGTGGAATAAACATGGAGATAACTGATGAACAATATCCAATAAAAACATGGTACGTGGAACTAGAATTGGCCCCATGATCGAATACCTCATCTCAGAAATATAGACAGATACTGAAAATAAACGTTGTAATAAATATGGCGACAAAGATGAGGACAATAGTCGAATAATGTAAATAGTGTACATAATACCTCATCTCAGAAATAAGACAGATACTGAAAGGCCGAAATGTTGTAATAAATATGGCGACAAAAGATGAGGACAATAGTCCGAATAATGTAAATAGTGTACATAATACCTCATCTCAAAAATATAGACAGATACTGAAAGGCCGAAACGTTGTAATAAATATGGCGACAAAGATGAGGACAATAGTCCGAATAATGTAAATAGTGTACATAATACCTCAGCTCAGAAATATAGACAGATACTGATTCTTTCTTGTTCAAATGTTGAATAATTTTAACACATTCAATATTACGGATAAAAAAAAATAATGAATTTCATCCAGGGCTTTTTTGAGCCAAACAAATTCACGCATTTGGACAAAGAAAGAAGACCCTAGAATGACGTCAAAATCCACGAAAAATGTTTGATCCTTTAAAAGTGAGTTGTGCCTAGTTTAATTTGTAAATAAATACACAAATTTAGGTAGAAAAAGTGCAAAAGTTGCTAAGATAACAAGGTTCACAAAACCCTCCTGATTTTTAATCAGGCTTGACTCCCCTAATCAGGCTTGACTCCCCAGTCGGTGGAGTGGCGGGGGTAGTACGCACTGGTTCAGTTTACAATGAATCTAAAAAAAATATGACTGGTGTTGGTTCAAGGAAAATAAGTTGACTTTGAAATCGTATTTTTATCTACCATAAAATTATGAAAACACAAACGATAGGCAAATAATTTTGAAATACAAGTTAAATACAATTTTCGATATCTTCTTGGAAGTTCTTCTTGAGAAGCTGATAGATAGATAGATAGATAGATAGATAGATAGATAGATAGATAGATAGATAGGAACAGAATCAGATAGATATGAAAAGAATGAGATAGATAGATATATAGAAAGATATGAACAGAATGAGATAGATAGATAGATAGATAGATGAATGTCCATGGTATATAGGTAGGTGGGTAGGTAGGTAGATGGATAGATAGATAGATGGATAGATAGATGGATGGATGAAAAGAGGTTAAAATAGATAGATAGATAGATAGATAGATAGATAGATAGATAGATACCAGGATCATTGTTATTCATTAGTCAGGATTTATATTTTCTCCGATATTTGGCTTATGCATATAAAATGTATTTCCTGTTAGATGGCATTTCTATTTCTGCTTATGTGTGCCTGAAGTTTTCTTTGACAACATAAATGTGTCAGAATAAAGAAAACGTCGAGAAACCCTTTGAGTAACGATCCTTTGCTATCAGAAAGAGGAATGTTCGAAAGCACACCAAACGAAATTTTGTGTTTTAAACAACAGTAAATGTCGAATGAAAACATAGATACATGAAATATAAAACCAGACAAATGAAAGAGAATGAAAATGAATGACGAAAAATGAAAGAGAAGCAATTAGGGAAGAAAAGTAAAGAACGAAAGAAAGAAAGAAAGAAAAAAAGAAAGAAAGAAAATAAAAGAAATTAAAAGAAAGGTAAAGAAGAAAAGCAATTGAAATTAAGAAAGAAAGAAAAAAAGAAAGAAAGAAAATAAAAGAAATTAAAAAAAGGTCATGAAGAAAAGCAATTGAAGTTAAGAAAGAAAGAAAGAAAGAAAAAAGAAAGAAAGAAAGAAAGAAAGAAAATAAAAGAAATTAAAAGAAAGGTCAAGAAGAATAGCAATTGAAATTAAGAAAGACAGAAAAAAAGAAGAAAGGAACAGACAGAAAGAAAGAAAGAAAGAAGGAAAGACCGAAAGAAAATAAAAGAAATTAAAAGAAAGTTAAAGAAGAAAAGCAATTGAAGTTAAGAAAGAAAGAATTTTTTTTTTTATAAAAAAAGAAAGAAAGAAAGAAAGAAAGAAAAATAAAAGAAATTAAAAGAAAGGTCATGAAATAAAAGCAATTGAAATTAAAGGTTCCTGAAAAAAAAAAAAAGAAAATTTTCTTAAAGAAAAAAAAAAAAAAAAAAAAGAAACGAAAAGAAAAGGTCAAACAAAACAATTGGAAATTGAAAGAAAGAAAGAAAAAAAAAAAAAGAAAGAAAAAAGGATTAAAAGAAAAGAAATTAAAAGAAAGGTCAATAAAAGAAAAGAAATTGAAATTAATAAAAGACAAAAAAAAAAAAGAAAGGAAACATAAAAGAAGAAAACAAACAAAAGAAAAAAAAAAAAAAAGAAAGAAAAAGAAAAGCCCGAATGAAGAAAAAAAAAAAAATTAAAAGAAAGGTCAAAAAGAAATTGAAAAAAAAAAAAAAAGACTGAAGCTAAGAAAGAAAGAAAAAGGAAGAAAAAGAAAGGAAAGAAAAAAAAATTTTAAAAAAAAGAAAAGAAAGAAAAATTTTAAAAAATCTAAAAAAAAAAATTTTGACCTTTAAGAAAAGAAACAACAAAAGAAAAGAAAATAAAAAAAAGAAAAGAAAAAAAAATTGGGAAAGAAAATAAAGAAAGAAAGAAAGAAAGAAAAGAAAGAAATTTTTAAAAAACAAAAATTAAATAAAAAAAAAGAAAAGAAAGTTAAGAAAAAGATAAAATTAAAAAAAGAAAAGAAAAAGAAAAAAAAAAATTAAAATGAAGAAAATTGAAAGAAAAAAAAAAAAAGTCTAAAAAAAAAAAAAAAGATAAAGAAAGAAAAAAGAAAAGAAAAAAAAAGTTAAATTTTAACTTTTTTAAAATAAAACATACAAAATTGGAATGAAAAAATTCATTAAAGAAATGAGGAAGAAAAAAAATTACAGATAAATGAATGAAAAATGGCAGTAGAAAGAAAGAAAGAAAGAAAGAAGGAAAGAAGGAAGGAAAAGAAAACCCATGAAGAAAGACAGAAAGAAAAAGGAAAGAAAGAAAAAAAAAAAAAAAGAAAGAAAAAAAAAAAGAAAAAAAAAAAATAAAAGAAGGAAAGAAAAAAAAAAAGATAAAAAAAAAAAAAATCAAAAAAAGAAATAAATAAATAAATAAAAAAAAAAGAAAAAGAAAGAAAGAAAAAAAAAAAAAAAAGAAAGAAAAGAAAAGAAAAAAAAAAGAAATGGGAAAAAATGAAAAAAAAAAAGAAACAAAGAAAGGAAAAAAAAGAAATTGGGAAAAGAAAGAAAGAAAAAAAAAGAAAAAAAAAAAAAAGAAAAAAAGAAAAAAAAAAAGAAAGAAGAAAGAAAGAAAGAAAAAAAAAAAAAGAAAAAAAAAAACCTAAAAAAAAAAAATTTTGAAAAAAAAAAAAAAAAAAAATAAAAAAAAAAAAAGAAAAAAAAAAGAAGAAAAAAAGAAATGGGACAAAAATGAAAGAAAGAACAAAAATGAAATGAAAAAAAAAAAAAAGAAAGAAAAAAAAAAAAATGAAAAAAAAAAAAAATTGAAAGTAAAAAAAGAAAGAAAAAAAAATAAATAAAGAAATTTGAAATTCAAAGAAAAAAAAAAATTTAGATTGAAAGAAAAAAAAATAAATGAAATTTTAATGGAAAAGATTGTTTAAAAATAAAGAATGTTAAGAAAAAAGAAATATAAGGAACGAAAAAAAAAAAGAAATTAAGATTGATGAAAAAAAAAAAAAAAAAAAAAGAATTTTTTTTTATTCTAAAATTATAATAAATATAAAAAAACAGAAAAAAAATTTTAAATAACAAAATTCACTATTAAATTTTTGACTATCAGAAAATTAATTTTAATAAACGACCGAAAAACGAAAAAAAAAAAAAAAAATATTATGTCCGGCAAATAATTTAATAAAAGAAGGGATTCTGAAAGAAAAAAAAAAGAAAAAAAAAAGATGATTAATTTTTAAAGAAAGGAATGATTTTTCTCAAATAAAAAAGAAAAAATGAAAAAAATAATATTTAAAAAAAGAAAAAAAAATTTAAATAAAAACCATCAAAATTAATGTCGGTTTTTTTTTGAAACATAAAAAAAGGAAAATTTTAACGAAGTAAAAAATATATAAAAATCTTCAGAAAAAATCTAAAAATTTATGTAATTTTTTCTTCTTAAAAATTTAAATTTTTTTTTTTAAAATTTTTTTTTTTCAAAAATTCGATCGTTATTTTTGCATTTAATTAATGATCTTTTTTTTTATTTTTAAAAAATTAAAAAAAAAAGCCTTAATTTTTAATATATTTTTAATAAATAAATTTTGGGTTGAAAGAAAAAAAAATAATTCGTTCAAATTTTTTAAAAAATTTTAAAAAAATGTTTTTGAAAAAAAAGAAAAAAAAAAATGATTTATTAATTTAAAAAAGAATTTATCCAAAAAATTTATTAATTTTTCTGTATTTAGAAATCTCAATGAAATCAGAATAAAAAAACAAAATGAATGAAAAATGACGAAAAAAGAAAAAAAAATTTATTAAGATTCTTTGTAATTTTAACAAAAAAAAAAAGAAAATTTTATTTTAAAAATGTTAAAAAAAAAAATTTCAAAAATCAGTTTACGGAATATTTCAAAAAAAAATTTTTTTAAAGCAGAATCAAAGAAAAATGAAAAAGAAAAAAATGAAATTTAAAAAATAAATATATTTTTATCAATAAATTTATAAATTTTTATTTAAAGAAAAAAAAAAGAATAAAAATGTATTAGATCGAATTTCAATAGAATTCTAAATTTGATCCAAAATCAGAATTTCTTTCTTTTGAAATTTGGGGATAAAAAAAAAAATTATAAAAAATCAAATAAGAATAAATTTCTGGAAAAAAAAGAAAGAAAAAAAAAAAATTCAACATTCATATATATAAATATATATAGATCAAATAAGATATGAATAGAATATATATATAGAATTTTTTATATATATATATAAATATTAATCTATAAAATGTAAATATATATCAAAAAAAAAAATATTTATATCTATTCTAGATTTAAAATAAATTGATATATAAAAGATAATATATTTAAATTATCAAAAGAAAAAAAAAAAAAATAGAAGTCTATAAGAAATAAAACTATTTAAATTATTAAAATGAAAATATATAAAAATAAAAGGTAAAAAATTTCAAAATTTTGAAAGAATGAAATAAACATTTATAAAATGTTTATTCTTTTAGATAAAGAAAATAATTTAAGGAAAAAAAAAAGAAATTTTATTAAAAAAAAAAAAAAAAAAAAAATGAAAAAATAAATCATGCAAAAGAATGAAGATTGAAAATTAGAAAAAATAAAAAAAAAGAAAATTATAATATAAAAATTTTAATCATTAAATGAAAAATAAATATTTTGAAAATTTTAAAAATTGAAAAATCAGGAAATCATTTGAAAAAAAAAAAATAAAAAAAATCAAAATTTGAAAAATTTTCAAAATTGAACAAAAATATATATATATATATATATATATATATATATATATATATATATATATATATATATATATATTATAAAGAAAGAAAGAAAAAAAAAAAAGAGAGATAAAAACTCGGAATTTTGATTTCATTTAAGGAAAAATCTGATTTTTTTTTGATTTTTCATAAAAATAGTTTCCAAACAAATTTTCAAAAATCTGATATTTCAAATTGGATGAAAAATATTATGTTTCAATGAATAAAAAATAATTTGATAATTTTAAATTAAAAAAAAATATTTTTATTTAAAAAGAAAATGAAATTGAAAAAAGAAAAAAAAAAATGAAAAATGAAAAGAAATAAAATTCCAAAAATAATTTAAACAAAAAAAATAATAAAAAAAAAAAAAAAATAACAAATGAAAAGTTTTGAAATCGAAGAAATAAAAAAAATTTTTAAAAACATCAAAAATTCTTCATAAGATCTAAAAAAACTTTTTAGTAAAACCATTGTAAAAATAAAAAAAAAATTTAAAACAAAAGATCATTGAAGGGATAAAAGTAGAAAAATTCAAAAAGAAAACGAAAAAATGTAAAAATTAAGGAAGGGTTTTATCTATGAAAAAAAAACAAGAAAGAAAAATTTATAAAACTTTTGAAAATGATACAGAATCTAAAAGAAAGAAACTTAAATCAGATTTTTGAAATAAATAAAAAAAAAATTAACAAAGATCAAGTCATTTAGAAAATTTATCATTTGTTGGATCCCAACAAAATATAAAACCCGACATGAAGAGTGGATACAATATCTGCAAAAAAAATCTTAACT